AAAAAAAAAAAAAAAAGGTATGTGACCTTAACAAAAAGTAAGCATGAGAATGTAAATGAGGAGTCTAAAAATATTAAATTTCTCATGGCATGAAAAACAACAGAGGTATGAGAACAAATCCTGGTATAGGTCCTCAGGCCATTGGGGAGTAAAAGTGAGCAGAGCATGGAATTGGGTTACAGATCTTGAGTACAAGACTTCCTGGCGTAAATAACCTTATTCACAAGAGGCCCAAACAATCAGTCCCTGCATTCAACAAAGTACTGTATTGTTCCTTTTCTTAAAACTATTAACTTAGAGCTCTGATGAGAAAACAACCAATCTTAACTGGACCCATGTATTAAAAAAAAAACACCAAACATACAAACAGAATTTACACACCTACTGCCTCTATGACTTACCAGGCCTATTCTTTTCCTTCCAGACAGAAAGCATAGGAGGGAGGGAGATAAAAGGAAGAAAGGAAGTAGGGAGGTTGGAGTCAAGAAAAAGAGAAAACTACAAAAGTTCAACTCACTCACTCCTGCAAGGCACACAATAGCTCTGGCAGAAGAGGATCAAGGAATGTCTAGTGGATTAGATGCCTACCATCTGGCAGATCATGCAGATAGTCTTCTATCCCAAGTAGACTTTTCAAATCCCTAAAGAAATAATTTTCAACATTTTCTTTCTTGCATTTTTTTTCTTTTAAGCAGGAGATTTCAAAACTCTTATACAAAAGTTCGATATAGGGCAATCCCCTGGGGTCCCCTCCCACTCTGGGAGTTTTTCTGTCCTCTCAATAAAACCTACTTTCTTTTAAAAAAAAAAGAAGAAGAAGAAGAAGTTTGATATAACACAGATAAGAGTAGAGTTGCTCTGGCTACATTAAGCTGCGAAGGAAATGGAAGCCTTATCTGTTCCTTCCCAAGGCCAGTTTCTGAGAAGCCACATTTGTGAAATCCTAGGATTCCAAGAGATAGAGGCTTCCCAATTTAGATCTAATATCAATTTGGGAAAAAACTCTGGTTCATACCACAGCCTCAACTTCTGCATCTATGTTAGAGAGCTTATAATATATACAGCTTAAGCCAGGCACGGTGGCTCGCGCCTATAATCCCAGCAATCTGGGAGGCTGAGGCGAGAGAATTCTTTGAGCCTACGGGCTCAAGACCAGCCTGGGCAACATGGTAAGACCTCGTCTCTACAATAAATCAAAAAATTAGCTGAGCATGGTGGCATATGCCTGTAGTTCCAGCTAATTGGAAGGCTGGGGCAGAAGGATCATCTGAGCCTAGCAGGTTGAGGCTGCAGTGGTCGTAAGCAGTGTGCCACTGTACTCCAGCCTGAGCAAGAGTGAGACTCTGACTCAAAAATATAAATATATATATACATGTGTATATATATACACACTCACACTCTCACACACACACACATATATATTTACAGCTTGAAAACAGACTAAGAGCCATACTAACAAATAGTAGCCAAAAATTTTAAAATTATAGTGTTCACAATAAATTGCTAAGAGAACTAGAAAGCATTTAGAGAATACAAATTCTAAGAACTTTGTGAATAGAACATAGTCGTGCTTACTATGATATTTAAGAAATCCAAGAGAAGTATAATAAATGGTTCTATACCTTTAGTATTCATCTGGGTAACAAAAGGCCTGATTTGAATAATTTTTTTTTTCTTTCTTTTTTTTTTTTTGAGTTGTAGTCTCACTGTGTCTCACAGGCTGGAGTGCAATGGCACACTCATGGTCACCGCAGGCTTAACATGCTGGGCTCAGGCGATCCTTCAGCCTCAGCCTTTCAAGTAGCTGGAACCACAGACGTGGGCCACCACACCCAGTTCATTTTTTGATTTATTGTAAAGATGAGGTATCGTCATGTTGCCCAGGTTGGTCTCGAACCTGTGGGCTCAGGCAATTCTTTCACCTCCACCTCCCAAAGTGTTGGGATTACAGGCGTGAGCCACCTGGCACAGCCTGATAATTTCCTTTTGTTGTATTCAAAATATGCATTGAAAGTGAAGACACAAAAACATAAAAGAAACTATAAGAAACTTCTTTTAAAAAGTAATCTATGCTGGATGCGATGGCTTTTGCCTATAATTCCAGCACTTTGGGAGGCCAAGGTGAGAGGACTGCCTGAGCCCAGGGGTTTGAGATCAGCCTGGGCAACTTGGTGAGACCTCATCTCTACAATAAAAAATATATGTATATATAGCTGGGCGTGGTGGTGCATGCCTGTAGTTCCAGCTACTAGGAAGGCTGAGGTGGAAGGATCGCCTGAGCCCAGCAAGTCGAGGCTGTGGTGGCCGGAAGCGGGCCACTGCACTCCAGCCTGGGCAACAGAGTGAGACTCCAACTCAAAAATAAATAAATAAAATTTAAAATGTAATCCACTTCCAGGCTTTTGAGTCACAATATATTTAAGACAGATGACTCATGCAGAACAAATATGGTCACCATCAAAGGGCAAGCCTATTGTACTTAATAATTGTAATTTTCATGTATTATACTTACATGTAACAGTTTCTGTGTCAGAGGCTTTATACAAATTATCTCATTTGTAGGCTTAGATAAAGAGAGAATGCTAGCTTTCTATACATTAGAAATTTTAGCTGAGAGCAAATAATATTATATTTTATAAGTTAACTAAAGTGGGAATCATTCCTAAGCAATGGGGTCAAAAGAAGATAAGCTAAGAGGGTACATCAAGAAGATATCAAATAGGAATGTCAATACTGGTCTTATCAAAACGCTACATGTTTCTAGGCTGGCACACCTGGATGTCCAGCAAAATAAGAGCAAAGATGTAAGTGAACTCTAGCCCTTCTCTGTTCAATACAGTAGTCACCAGCCTCATGAGTAATTTTAAAATCAAGTTATTAGTTTTCTTGCTATTAAATTGTTTGAGTTCCTTATGTATTTTGAATATTAACTTCTTATCATGCAAGGCTTCCAAATATTTTCTTCCACTCTGTGGGTTCTCTTTACTCATTTCCTTCATTGTGCAGAAGCTTTTAGTTTGATGCAATCACATTTATCAATTTTTCTTTCGTTGCCTGTGCTTTAGGGGATCTAACCCCCAAAAAATCATTATGTAGATCAGTGTCATGGAGATTTCCCCCTAAGTTTTCTTCTAGTAGTTTTACAGTTTCAGGCCATACTATACTACTTTCATTACATAACAACAATATTTTAAATTTTTGCTGTAATGGAATAAATTTACTTAAAGTCAATTTTTCATGCATTTGCCAGTCCAGTTCACAGTGAAGAAAATACAAAAAGGGAGCCAGGCTCAGTGGCTCACGCCTATAATCCCAGCACTTTGGGAGGCTGAGGCAAGAGGATTGATTGCCTGAGCCCAGAGTTCAAGAGAAGCCTGCACAAGTTGGTGAGACTTTGTCTCTACAATAAACAAAAAAATTAGCCAGGCATGGGGATGTACGCCTGTAGTTCCAGCTACTTGGAAGGCTGAGGTGAAAGGATTGCCTGAGCCTAGCAGTGCAAGGCTGCAGTGGCGGTGAGCATGCTACTGCACTCCAGCCTGGGTGAAAGAGTGACTCGCCAACTCAAAAGAAAATAAGAAGCCGGGCTCGGTGGCTCAGCCTGTAAACCCGCGCCTTGGGAGGCTGAGGTGAGTGAATTGCCTGAGCCCGCGGGTTCAAGACCCGCCTGGGCAAGTTGGCGAGACCTCATTTCCACAATAAGTCAAAAATTAGCCGGGAGTGGTAGCGCACACCTATAGGTCCAGCTACTTGGAAGGCTGAGGCGGAAGGATCACCGGAGCCCAGCAGGTCAAGGCTGCGGTGGCCGGGAGCGGCCACTGCACTCCAGTCTGGGCTCCAGAGTGAGACTCCAACTCCAAAAAAAAAAAAAAAGAAAAGAAAAAGAATGGTGAAATAAAAAGATAGGAAGGCAATAGTTCAAAATGCTAATAATAGCCTTATACTGAGTGCTGAGATCGAGGGAAATTTTTATTTTCTTGTTTTTACTAACTCTTGCTAAATGTTTCTTCTGTGACTTTTTAAGCCAGACACGGTGGCTCAGCCTGTAATCCCAGCACTTTGGGAGGCCAAGGTAAGAGGACTGCCTGAGCCCAGGGGTGCAAGATCAGCCTGGGCAACTTGGCGAGACCTCATCTCTACAATAAATCACAAAAACTAGCCAGGCACGGTGGCGTGCATCTGTAATTCCAGCTACTTGGGAGGCTGAGGTGGAAGGACTGCCTAAGCCCAGCAGGTCGAGGCTGCAGTGGCCATGAGTGTGCCAATGCACTCCAGTTTGGGCAACTCAAAAAAAAAAAATCTTTTTAAGCAAGATGAAAATAAGACCTTAAAATTGTCTAAGTAGAATACCAAATCAAGCCTCATTCACCTCTCTCTCAAACATGTGAAGGCCTTAACTGATCTCTTGGCCACCAGTCTCCCTAACACAAAACAACTCTGTATCTTGTCATCAGTTACATTGTCATGCTAGTCTCTGCTCATAATACAATCACAGAAAATACACTATGATCTTTTTGGCTTCATGCAAAGCATTTCTGAATAATTTGGCGCAATTCTACCTTTCCACCTTTATCTACCAATATTATCCTGTCAAGTCCTTAGTTATGCTAAGAGAAGCCTGTACAAGAATCCAGGCCTCGGAGTCAAAGACCTTGCCCAATACATAATTTTTTGGCATCAGTTTCTTCAACAGAAAGCAGCTGTGAAGACTAAACCTTTAAATTAGCAATGTACCCAAGGTCAGGCGCAGTGGCTCATGCCTGTAATCCCAGGACTTTGGGTGGCTGAGGTAAGAGGACTGCCTGAGTACAGGGGTTTGAGGTCAGCCTGGGGAACTTGGCGGTACCTCGTCTCTACAATAAATCAAAAAATTAGCTGAATGTGGTAGCACACGCTGTAGTTCCAGCTACTTGGAAGGCTGGGGCAGAAGGATCTCCTGAGCCCGGCAGGTCGAGCCTGCAGTGGCTGTGAGCATGCCACTGCACTCCAGCCCGGGCGACAGTGAGACTCTGACTCAAAAAAAAAAAAAAGTAATGCACCCAGCACACAAGCATTCACTAAAATTATGAGTCATATGAAATGTATTCACTGACTCCTCAAAAAGCTTTGTATTTATGTGTTTTATATAGCACTCTTCTACTCCTTTCTAATTTCCTGCCCTATCTTCTAAAATCCTAATACAATTCAAGACCCAATTCAAGTCCCTTCTTTCAAGGCTTCCCTGATCTACCAAGTTAATATGACCTCTCAATACTTTAGGTTCCTATAGCACTTCTACCAAAATGGTGGTATCTTAGTTGATTTATAATTCTTTCCACCAGTGTAAGTTTCCAAATTATCTGCTAGTAGAAACTCTACTTTATATATACCTTGATAGCTTTCTGATCTCTGACACATCACCAGACACATACTAGACGCTCAAAAAATGTGTTAAGGGTTGGGAATGGTGGCTCATCACTGTAACCCCAGTACTTTGGGAGACTGAAGCAGAAGGGTTGCTTGAGCCCAGGAGTTCAAGACCAGCTGAGTCAACATAGGAAGATGTTGTCTGTACAAAAAAATTTAAAAATTAGATGGGCGCCATTAGGCAGTGCAGAACTGTAGTGCATACACCTGTAGTACCAGTGACTCAGGAGGCTGAGGCAGAAGGAATGCATGAGCCCTGGAGGCTGAGACTACAGTGGGCCATGATTGTGCCACTGTACTCCAGTCTGGGTGACAGAGTTGAGACCTTGACTCTTAAATAAATTAAAAAATAAAATAATAAAAATAATTCTCAAAGGCAAACTGTCTTTGCAAGTGAGTGCTAAAAGTTTTCTTTCATTGTTGGTTTTATTTTTTTATTTTTTTGTTGGTTTTATTTTTAGGGCCAGGGTCTTACTCTGTCATCCAGGCTGGAGTACAGTGGTGTAATCACAACTCCTTGCAGCCTTGAATTTCTGGGCCCATGTGATCCTACCCACCTCTGCATCCCAAGTAGCTGGGATTTTATACACCCACACTACTATGTGTGGATATTTTTTTTTTTCTTTTTTGGCCCCTTTTTATTCAACTTGATTTTTTTTTTTTTGTAGAGACAAGGTCTTGCTATGCTGCACAAGCTGGTCTTGAACTCCTAGACTCAAGTGATCACACCTCAGCCTCCCAAAGAAGGCTGAATGTTGAATTACAGGCATGAGCCACCGTGCCGCTAGTGCTAAAAGTTAAGAGAAGACGGCTTGAGGGCATAATTTCACCTTTATTTTCATTCACTGATTTAATTACAAATTCTCATAAAGCAATTAGGAAAATTAAATAACCACATAAAGACCAGTCTTTTCTCTTTGATAAATTACTAATCAGCAATAGAAAACAACTGTTCTAATGAACTGCTACTAATGTTTTAATGAGAGTAAAGCAACTTGAGAGACAGAGGAAGTTGCTTTATTAAATGCAGTTAATTACCAGGAAATTAAGTCTCAGTGGGTCAGAAAAAAAATCTAGAGTACTGCTAAACTCTAGATTCAGCATGATAAATCCTGAATCCCTCTTTTTAGTTGTCAGTGCTATTCTAGCAAGCCTCTAAGGTTTCCACTTTTTAGTGATCCTTCTTCTGGGGATCAGAAGGAAGGAAAAGCCATTACCTAAGGATGTTGGGATGGGAGAGTCTATTCATGAGCTGTACTTCTTTCAGCATGTTTGCACGGTTACTGCTTAACGTGTTCATCTTAAGAGCCATCACCTGACCAGAAGCTCGGTGGCGCACCTAGAAAACAAAATACAATAAGGTCAAAGGCAACAGCTATATATGAGGTCAAAGTCTCCAGATATAGAATACACCAAGGTATTTCGGTGAGAGTTTAGATAATAAAATTACATTAAAATCTCACTTCCATTAATAAAGTCATTTTTTTAATACCTTTGGAAAAAACAGGGAAATTTCTAAATGGGTTCCTTATGGCTGACATTGAGTAGTAAGATATCAACAGAAAAAAGTGTCTTCTGTAGAATTTACCTTTTTTTTTTTTTTTTTTTTTTTGAGTGAGAGTCTCACTCTGTCACCCAGGCTGGAGTGCAGTGACATGCTCACGGCCACCCCAGTGTCGGCCCACTGGGCTCACATGATCCTTCTCCTCATTCTTCTAAGTAGCCAGAACCACAGGCACGCGCTATACTGCCCAGCTAATTTTTTTTTTTTTGAGTTGGAGTCTCACTCTGTCGCCTAGACTGCAGTGCAATGGCCACTCCGGGCCACTGCAGCCTCAACCTGCTGGACTCAGGGGATCCTTCTGCCTCAGCCTTCCAAGTAGCCGGAATTACAGGCACGCGCTACCACGCCCGGCAGATTTTTTATTTATTGTAGAGATGAGGTCTTGCCAAGTTGCCCAGGCGGGTCTCGAACCCGTGGACTCAGGCAATCCACTCACCTCAGCCTCCCAAGGCACGGGATTACAGGCTGAGCCACCGAGCCCAACTTAATTTTTTGATATATTGTAGACACGAGGTCTCACCAAGTTGCCCAGGCTGGTCTTGAACCCCTGGACTCAGGCAATCCTCTCGCCTCAGCCTCCCAAAGTGCTGGGATTATAGGCTTGAGTCACCACACCCGGTCTTTATTTATTTATTTATTTATATTTTGAGTCGAAGTCTCACTCTGTCACCCAGGCTGGAGTGAAGTGGCATACTCATGGCCACCGCAGCCTCAACCTGCTGGGCTCAGGCGATTCTTCCACCTCAGCCTTTTAAGTAGATGGAACCACAGACATGCGCCACCACACCCAGCTAATTTTTTGATTTATTGTAGAGCAGAGGTCTCGTCATGTTGCCCAGGGTGGTCTCATACCCATGGGCTCAGGCAATCTTCTCGTCTCCACCTCCCAAAGTGCTGGGATTATAGGCATGAGCCATCACACCCAGTTAGAATTTTCAATATGCATAAAAAAGACATATGCATAAACCTTATATAACACTTAAGGAACTATATAACTGTTCTTATAAGACACTAAACCCACATAATTCAAAGTCTCCCCCAAGCACCATAAAAATGTATCTATAAGAAGCTGGGCATGGCCAGGCTCGGTGGCTCAGCCTGTAATTCCACGCCTTTGGGAGGCTGAAGTGAGTGGATTGCCTGAGCCTGAGGGTTTGAGACCCGCCTGGGCAACTTGGCAACACCTCATCTCTACAATAAATCAAAAATTAGCCAGGTGTGGTAGCGCGTGCCTGTAGTTCCAGCTACTCGGAAGGCTGAGGTGGAAGATTGCCGGCACCCAGCAGGTTGAGGCTGCGGTGGCTAGGAGCAGCCACCGCACTCCAGTCTGCGCGACAGAGTGAGATTCCAACTCAAAAAAAAAAAAAAAAGGAGCCGGGCTCAGTGGCTCAGCCTGTAATCCCGCGCCTTTGGGAGGCTGAGGTGAGTGGATTGCCTGAGCCCGCGGGTTCGAGACCCGCCTGGGCAGCGAGACCTCATCTCTACAATAAATCAAAAAACTAGCCGGGCGTGGTAGCGCATGCCTGTAATTCTGGCTACTTGGAAGGCTGAGGCGGAAGGATCGCCGGAGCCCAGCAGGTCGAGGCTGCGGTGGCCGGGAGTGGCCACTGCACTCCAGTCTGGGCGACAGAGTGAGACTCCAACTCAAAAAAAAAAAAAAGACAGGATAGACATCACAGTTTGTCTTAGAATTCAAAGAAACATTTTCAGAGTGGCCAGACAGAGAGAATGAAAACACTCAGAGCCACAGGAACCCTGATCAGAAAAACTGAGGCAGAATACTGGCTACCTCTCCCCTCTTCTAGATCACTGAGCAAGATTTGAAATCCAGCTCTCAGTACATCAATGATTCTGTTGTCAAGTACCTCGTGATTGATGAAAGAGCAGTAGCTTTCCTTTTCAGATCCTGCATGGATAAGTTAAAAGAAACAAAGAGCTCACTGACAGTATTTTTCCAACTGTATTTACAGAAGACATCTGTGTTTAAATAAGGGCTCTCCAACGGAAAGTCACCCCCTTTTTTAATCTGAAAACTGTTACACTGAGTTTTTAACAAAATGTCCTCTTTTAAGAAAGTTTCATATTAAAGCAGGACAAGGTGGCTCTTACCTGTAATCTCAATACTTTGGGAGGCAAGACAAGAGGATCACTTGAGCTCAGGAGCTCTAGACCAGCGTAGGCAACAGAGCAAAACCTTGTCTCTATTAAAATTAAAAATTAAAAAATTAGCCCAATGTGGTGGCTCATGCCTATAGTCCCAGCTACTCTGGAGGCTGAGGTGGAAGGATCACCTGAGCTCAGCAGGTTGAGGCTGCAGTGAGCTGTGATAGTGCCACTGTACTACAGCCTGGGCCACAGAGTGAGACCCTAACTTAAAAATAAATAAATAGGCCAGGTGTGGTGGCTCAAACCTGTAATCCCAGTACTTTGGGAGGCCAAGGCAAGATGACTGTCTGAGCACAGGGGTTCAAGACCTGCCTGGACTACTTGGTGAGACCTCTTCGCTACAATAAATCAAAAAATAAGCCAGGCATGGTAGGATGCGCCTGTAGTTCCAGCTACTTGGAAGGCTGAGGTGGAAGGATTGCCTGAGCCCAGCAGGTGGAGGCTGCAGTGGCTGTGAGCATGCCACTGCACTCCAGCCTGACAACAGAGAGAAACTCCAGGTCGAACTAATTACTGAAATAGATAAATAATTAAATGCAGTTTATGATTCAAACAAGTGGTGAAATTGGAAAATAATCTGCATTTCACACAGGACAGAATCTCATGCTGAGCATGTTCATAATTGACTATATTTTCTTCTGTTCACACCCTCCCCCTGACCCTTATTTACATATATTTTATTCTTCTGGAGAGGAATGATTGTTTCGTGAGGCTGAACCTAAGAGTAATTGGACTTTCTGAGGAAGAAAGAGAGACAGAGACCACTCTGGAACAAACATCCCATGAAATTGTCCAAGAAAATCTCCCTCATCACATCAGTGACATGACAATTCAAACACAAGAGATTTAGAGAACCCATGCAAGATGTCAAGTGAGTAGACCAACTCCTAGACACAGTAATTCACCTACATAAAGTAGGTATAAAAGAAAATATCTTAAAGGCAGCAAGAGAAAAAGTTCAGACTATCTACAGGGGATGACCAATTAGAATAGCAACGAATCCACAGAAACACTTCAGGTGAGGAGAGCTTGAACTCCAATCTTCAAGGTTCTCCAGGTAAACATTTTCACCAAGAATATCTATCCAGCTAAGCTAAGCTT